TTCCCAGGTGAGCGCCGAGTCATTTCGCTTCAATATTCAGGAATGCTCTCGATCTTTACGCTTTCATTGCCTCTCGCCCGACGTGTTTTGCACGGCGTTTGGTCATACGAAACCTCCACGAAACATCCACGCCTCGCGCGAGGTAACGTTATCCCGATTCTAAAAATAACTCGCGACGAATTACCTATGGAATAGGGTGTATATGGGGGATGGCCTCTCTGTCCCCTTTATAGTCTCTTGGCGGAACTGAAAACTTTGGGAAAGGAAAACATGGCTCGCTCCAATACGAAACATATGACTGAAATGCGAGTGCTAACTAGTGCTCTTCTACAACAACTCAACTTTACTTACCAATTTTTTTATTTTTTTAATTAGCTTCGCTTGAACAGTTGTTGCCTTAGCCTGGGTGCAGGAGTCTATTTCTTCTTGCATGCAGACTGAATTAGGCTCGTCTGCACACGCACGCCCTTGTTGTCTAAGCAATGAAAATTCAGAACTTTTCTTACCTTAAGAAACATTGAAAACGTTGAGCCTGGATTATCAGTGAGCTTGGTGTCATCGTCAGTTGTAGAGAACTTAATAGACTTGTTCAGTTCACAATTGTCCGAACACTCTTTGAAGTTAAAAGAGGTACACCAAGAATGTCTTAAACATGCTTGACTGCACGACATTTCATTCGTAGAATCGATTTTCTTGACAACATAGCCATGTAAACGCTTGTTCTCTCGTTTTGATGTAGGCAGATTTAGATTCTTTTTCGGCTGCGAAAACTGTGCCAACGACGAAGCAGAAAATGAGTGAGCAATTCATTTTATTCATCTCTGCAGTTTTTCCGAGCGGTTTTCATCCGCAGAGTGTACTGTCGTGTAATGTCGCAATTTGTGATAATCGTCGCACTTTATCCTACCTGTGGTAATTTTTAATAAATCCATCACACTTTGTAATGCCCGGCCGCCGATTTATAATTGTAATACTTGTCGTAATTTGTAATACACCTTGTCACACTTTGTAAAAAAGGAATATCTGCTTGTCCCTCACACTTTGTAGTAAACTTAGCTGTCACAAGTTGTAATATTTCCATCACACTCCAAAGGCTTTGCGATAATAATCTTTAGTTATCTGAGTCTCTTGCTTGGTTATATATGAGATTTCGCTTTTAATGGCTTTGATCTCCGCCATTGTCATTTTCTAAGGAAATAGGCCTTAAGGGGCATTAGTTATACCCAGGGAGATCATAGTTTTCTATTTGCAGAAATTTGATAAATTTATACCAGCAGCGAAAAAAAAATAAAATCAGACGGCAATGAGTATCAAACTGAATGCCAATAGACTTCAGTTGAAACTGAGCCTGTTCACAGATCAGACCCTCTATTTTCTCTTCAAATTCCGTCGAGGGCGGGTGATAAAGTATAAACTGCAGAGGATTTATTGACCGCCAGCGCAGGGAGATATGTTTTCGAAAAGAACGAAAAGAAAAATTAAATAAACGTCTGTGTACAGGCTAGTTGAAATTAGACATTTCGGCAAACTGGTGAACGGAAAGGAGCTTTTATAGCAACTTGATGTGACAAAAGTTACCGGGTTAACACGGTAAAGACAGATATTCAATGTTGTGATATAGAAAGAATAAAAAGTGTCCGATCAGAATATTTTAAAGAGTTTTCTTAATCAAATACTCTCAAGCAGTTACTGTTTCTAAGTAACTTTTAGTTGAAACATGCGAAAGTTTAGCAAAAAAAACGTTGTTTAAGTAAATTGAGTGGTGGAAAAACGTGGGTTGTTTTAGCATCAAATGTCAAAGTGTTAGCTATGGATTAGCATAACAGAGTCATTGAGAAGAACTCGTTGCCAAAATTTTTGACAGATCGTTTAATAGTTAAAATGTCCAGCGGCTTTGCTAATTTACACTGAAAATTAGCTGCCACCTGTTTAATAAAGGGTCTGGGTTAAACTTAATAGCGTAACCCTTTTTATGATGGAAATCGTTTCAATGGAAACTTCCAGAAAGAAGGTGTTGCCTCTTTTTTTCCCATGGGTTTTCATCAATTACCACACACAGACTTGGATCATCTCAACGTTTATTAACTGCATGGCTACAAATTTAAAATCATTACACTTACTTCACAAGAGAAGAGCATGTAAAACAGATCTTGTCGCTTTTGAAAGCCTTGAATTGTGACGTCATCAAGCAAAGAAGGTGTATAAGTATTGTTTTGACTATGTTTCAAAAACAACGCGAAGAACCAAACTCTTAAGTAGATCTAGTGCTAGATGACTATCACAGCCGAGGTCAAAAGCACAAGACCATTACATAATCTATCTACTATAAAACAATGCTATTAAAATTTTTGGCTATTCTACTGAGGAACTCTTAAAATACTTCACTCTATTCTCTAGCTAGATTTTTGAAAGACCCAAAAGTCCTCATTGTCGTTTCGCCAGTTTTTTGTTTCAAAGACTATCGTAATCTCCAAATAAGTAGCCGATATGAAAACTAAGAGTGCAACCATTGTCTTTTCTCTTCTCCGCCTTCATTTCTCCCACCTCCCTCTATTTTCGCAATTCCCGCTCCTTTTCCTTTCTTAGTGTGATTTTCTGGCTTATCAGAGGCAAGAATTAATTCAAGAAACTTGCATCTTGGCTTTCTTCAATCAAGAGGCTGCAATTCAGTTCCCTAGCTTTCAAAAATCCAGCTAGATTATACTCAATCTATCCTAAGAATACAACTTATATGATGCATAAAGTACAACATGCGATAAACTGAGTAAATAAGAGATTCATTACCAACACAATGACCCTCCTGTTTTGTCTTTGATTCTGTTCTTATTAACCCTTTAGGTCACAAGTGACCAACATCAATTTTCTCCTAACAACAACAGCAGATCATCAACAGAAAAAGTTATGAGAATTACTAAATTGATCACCAATGGGAGAACGCCTGGATCTTAAACCAAATTCTCTCAACTATTTTTAAAAGAAATGTATGGAGATCGGTCTGGAGAATTTGTATGTGGATCTTGGGGCTTAAAGGGTTAGGGTTAGGTTAGGAAACTAGTTAAACAGCAGGGTCGAAATGAAGCGATCTACCTCGAGCGGTATCACCCTACTTTACGCAGTACCACCCTCCTAAACGGCAAAATCAGTATCCTCATCGATCTGCCGGAATCCAAGCTAGGCCAAATGCTTCTGTCCTAGACTCATATTCAGTCACTATTCATGTGTTTTCGGCGAGACCCAGAGTAGGGTGTGTGATTAATTTAGTGCTCAGATCTCTGTCAGGGGAAGACAGACTGAGATCTAAAAAGAAAATTACATTGGTATACGGGATCGGCTTCCTGCCTCCCTTTCCGTAACTCCTCGCGTAACTCTTCTTTCCAGAAATCAAATAAATAATGACTGACTGGTATCAGCGAGCGCTTGTTTTTATCTCTCGCCATATGGTGTTATGAAATGTCTTGATCAGCTTAAAGCGAACAGAAGAAGAGAAAACGTGTTGTCTGATCTTACGCACAAAACTTCTCTTTAAAAACTGCATGAAGTGTCACTTTAGTCTAAAGAACACTATACCCCCTCCCTGTAAAGTTAACGCTATTAACTTTGAGTATAAACAATTCAACCTTAAGACACAGGCTCTGCGTTTGATCTTCGTCCCTTAGGGAGTAGGTCAGGTATAGCGCCCCTAACTATTTAACCTTTGCTTTAACTCCTATTAATACACACAAACTTAATTACCTATACGTACACACATTGAGCTTAAAATACATCGACATCTTTTTATCGTCCCTCGATGTACAATACTTGTAGAGGATAAGAGGTCTAGGTTGTCTTAACGCCGAAAAAGAGTGGGTGGGGGGAAGGGGTGGGGAGAGGAGGAGTGAAGCCCTATTTCAGTGAGCAGGACTCGGGGTTATGGGGTCCTGCAGTAAGTTTATAAGTCGACTGACAACATGAACCATTTAGGCGCATTTTTCATCCCCAAAAGCGTATACCATTTTTTTTCGATGAAATTGATCATGATTAACTGTTAGAAGACGAACCAACAATCGGTTACAACAAGAAGCATTGCTTATTTTTTACAACAACTACGCGCTTAGATGTTTTCATAGCCCAGTTCAATTTAAAGGGACAATGTCATGCTTTTTGGAATCTTTTTAGAGAGTTAAAACATGTAATTTCAAATAGTCATGGTTCAGTTTCGTGGTTTAAGACTTTATTATCGGCAATGAAGCTGTTTTCCTGTTGTTTGTTGCTAAGATTGGCAAGGATGGACATATGGATAAAAACTTGAAGAAACTGGGCCGAATTTTTCAAGTTTAAAAAGTTTTAAATTTTTTTAATGAAATTTGTTTTATATCTTCTTCAGGCCCCAGTTGTTCAAAAGGTGGACAACGCTATCCACCAGATAAATCACTATTCACTGGATAGCACAATTGGTTTCCCTAACACTCTTCTAGACCTTTGTCACGCGGCGGCCATTTTGTCCCCGCTCTTCCCTGCTACGTTCAAGCCCTTCCGGGACTTTCAGTTTTTTGAATATTCAAGAGGGTTGTACGTTAAAGAAAGGTTGTCGAATGACATAATAAAAGGTGTGAATCATGAAATAAGTAAAAATAACGCTGCAGTCGTTCGGGTATTTTATTTTAAAAATGTTCGTGAGTGATGAACAGTGCATGCTACCTTTTTAAAATGGCTGGCAAAAGTTGCTTTAGCAAGAGTTTTACCTTGTAGCACGTATTCCTAAATCCCAAGCCTTTACCGGCCCTAAATAGTTCAGCTATATTGAAATCTTAAAACAAACTATAGGCAAACTATTCTAACAGCAGATTTTAGACAGTTGAATATATAGGGATTCTAAAAACTAAACTAAAAAGCAAACAAAAACAACATCAATAATTTAAAAAGCAATTAATAAGAAGTTTAAACTGAGTTATATCAAACTCTCAATTGCTTCGCTCTGAGATTTAACGGTAATAAATATGATAGTTTGTGTTATCTTGCATTTAGCGGGATGGGTCAAGATAAAATACCTCCACCTCATCAGGTGAGAAGTGCTCAGTCCCGGCGAGGACTGTGGACCAGCGATTTACTGCAGGTGGAACAGAGTAGTGAACGCTTATGAGTGCTCTTGACTTCCTATTACTGTCGGCATTATCGGCAATGAAGATATGATACGCAAAATATGGACCGTATCCTGAACTCCTGTTAATTGCCCCTCCTGAGTATTCTTTCTTCATCTTGGTCACAAACGGTGCCACGCCTTCATTATTGTTGAGCGAAAAAATAAACGCTTCGGAAGTAACGCTCCAGCCACCACTGGATTCTGGGAAACCAAAAGTATATAAAATAAATAAAATAATAATAATAATAATAATAATAATAATAATAATAAAAAACAAAGAAAATTGTCATATATGCTTTCACGTTTGCTTCAATAAAAAAATGAATTTCAAGTTTGAATTCATTCTATTACTGACCATTATACTATTACATGAGAATTTTCTGCAATTTGATTGGGTTAGAGCAGTGGTATTTCAGCTTAATTTGAAATACTTACATGTGAAAATTACAACCCTTTTGCGGGTAGTAGTATATAAAAATAATAGCATGACTTGTACGTGATATTAGGCATAAATACCACTCGTGATATTTCAAAATTGTCTCAAATTTCACTCCCCTAACAGCTCGTGAAATTACGTATAACAATTTTGAAATATCACTCGTGGTATTTATGCCAAATATCACTACAAATCCTGCTATTACCTATACTAATAGCCCATTTTCACGATTAAAAATGACGTCATTTTTCTACAGCCAACAGAGTTCACTTTTCTTTTGCCCTCTTATTTAAACGAATATCTATTAATACTGATTGAGGTAAAGGTAACTGCCAATCGCCCTATTGAATGATCAGGAAATCAACAACCTGAAGGATTCGAGATTTTTTAGCAAGCGTTTCACTTTTAACGCCATTATTACATGATTATTATTTCTTAGTGGTGGGATAACTTACGAGGTTACCAAACCGGAGATTTCAACGGATTTTGCTCTACGTGTAAAGTCAAACCATTGGATCGGCACTAGACATACGGACATGCAGACTCCGTTTTATTACGGACAATCTTGTTGGCTCACCGCTCTAATACGGAATGTTTAGGACAAGGACACTTGGCCAGGCTTTACTGACTATCGGTATAAAAAATATATGGTTTTGCAGTGCATATTCTCTTAGGACACATCCTTGACACACACTGTAGCGGGTCGGTAGCTGCCGTAACAAAAATTTGATGCATCCACTGGCATCAGTACATTTAGCTTTTTTGCCTTTGAAATTTCACGATCCGCAAGTCTGTGCAATCCAGTGCCTGTCAGATCCCATTATTTCACAGACCTGTCACAACTCACGCGCTAAGGAAGGAAGCTTAGAGTCTTCGCTTCCCTGAAGAAGACCTTATTGTCAGCAAAGACGGACCGAAGCCTTAACGAAAGTTGCTGAGGATGGGTGGGGTTCATGGAGACCTTAAGTGAATCGTGGCTCACTCAAGAATAAAAATTATTTGTTTTGGCTTCGGTTTGGATTAAAAATAAGAGGGAGGGGGACTCCATTAGACGCGCCACTGTTGCCATAATAGCCCAAAGACATTTGATATATCAAAATTCTGACATGACCCCGAAACCTTCTGGTCATATTTCTATATTTGGTTTGGTTTTCTTTTTGCGCAAGTCTCCTCTGGAAATTGTGAGACAATAGAGTCGTGAAAAATTTGCAGTTTTGTCCCTAAAGCCTTGAAGTGATGTAGTTAAAATTCCAATTTATCAAACGTGGGCTATTAGTAATGACCTGATGTTTCATCCAAAACATGGACCATACGCTGAATCCCTGAAAAGAGCCTTTCCTGGTGTCTCCACTTTACTCACAAACGGAGGCAGCCGTTTTTTTTTTGAAGGGAAAATTGAAAGTTTTGGAAGCGTTACCAAAGCCACTAAAGGATTCTTACAAACAAACAAACAGAACGTATGAATACAATGGAATACCGATTTCTCGAATTTCCAAGAGAAATGAAAAATCGGCAGTTGGAAAACTCGAAGGTTTTATAGAAAACACCTATTTATCATCTGGAACTTGGCAGGAGGTTAGGCTACTGCCAGAGTCACAAACTGTAAGAACTATTTTTTCCTTAATAGTTTTAAAGAGAGGAGTGACCGGTCCCACGAAAAGTCCCCACACCCCCAATCTGGGTAGGGGGCGACCAGACATATCGGGGGTAAAGACCCATGCTGGCAAAGCACAAACCCAGAGTGACGTTTCAACCTAACAAACAAAGAATTTAATTCTCAATAAACAGTGCAAGTAGATCAGAATTGTAGAGCTGTTATATTGCAGGAGAAAAGTACGATAAAATAAGGGACTTTATTTAGTTTTTCTTACCCCAAGGAATATCCGTGTATCCGCCAAAGATGGATTTGCCATTCCTTATGATGGTAACAGTGTCGTTCTTTCCATCGCAGCGACTGTGAAACTGACTGGCGCTCCAGCCATGCAATGTAGCACGCCAGCACAGCAACCAGTGAGAATTGTCCCCAACCGCAGTCTCCAGAAAATTGCCCAAATGACCAAAATAGTAATCACTGCTGTTCAAAATTGACGAGTTCATAAATTCTGAAAATAATAAAGAATACTTTAAATCAATAATAAGCATGGCATAATGAATTTCAAGTGTGGAGGAACCAACAGTTTTAGGTTGAGCATATTCTTTCTTTAAAAAGTGTCAAGATACTATGCAATAGGAACAAAGCAAAATGTGAACAAAATTGACAGAAAGTTGCTCAAGGAGATTTTTGCGGCAGTTAGCAAAATATAGTCAAGAAAAAAAGTGGGGAAAGCCGTAACAAAAACGTCGAATCCAGCTAATGATTGTTGCCGAATATCCAAATACTTTTTTAACGTTAACGTTTAATAAGTATGGAACTGGAAAATCGCTTTATTCTTATCGCCGGTTTCGCCGGCTCCAGCCGATGGCACCGCCGCATTAATATATACCATAACTCCAAACTCGATCAAGTGAGCCTGTTCACATGCGGCCTATCCGGTGCTATCATGTCTATCCTTACCCCTAAAGATGTAACATACACCTTTAAGTTAATGGAACTTATTTTACCTGTGCAGTTAACGCCGTTTCCGATATATCCTGGTTTGCATGTACAAATGTAAGAGCCTTTAGTGTTGTTACAGAAAGCATTGGAGCTGCAGTTATGCGTTTGTATCTCACACTCGTTGAT